TTCCTTTTCCTATAAAACCTTTTGATTGTTCACGCAACTGTTGTATAAGTTTTAAAGATAAAGATCTTCCCGTACCCTCATAACCATTAATGGTTGATGCCATAAATATCAAATATGGTCCTAATAGATTTTTAACGAATGGTAAAGGAATAGCTGCTGCTTCGTCTATCACAACAATTTCAGCCTGACCTAAAACGTGAAAATCTTGTGGTTGAATATACTAATATATGCAAGTATATTATATCAATAATTATATAAAATATATTAACATAAATATATATTAAAAATTTTGTTGGGATATTACTTGTATAATTTGACGATGTTGTTTAAATACATTAACTCGGACTATTGCTTTATTAAAATCAGGATTTGTAGATTGAATAATATCGTAATCTAAATGTTCCTCATATTCTAAAGCATCAAATCCTTTGAAAATAAATTCAAATAGGGTTTTTAAATTTTCAGGACTTGGAGAAGTCACAAATATATTTGAATATCCAGAAGTAATAGCAGAAGCAATTGCGACACCAAGTGCAGCAGATTTACCACGACCGCGAGAGGCTGTTAATGTAATTGTGGTTTTTAATGTTTTTTCAGATATTGCCTCTATAAATGTCAATATCGCTTTTGCTTGATCCAAAGTTTTTGCTGTATTAACCAAGCAACCAATTGGTTGAGTGTCTATTAAAGAATTTTTTAATTCTTTTAATTCTTTTAATGAAGGTTGCATATTGTGTTCCAAAGGTAAGATCCTCTTGAAAATAATATAATAAAAATATATAAATAGTTTTTCTATATTTTTAAAGTAAATTTTTTCTACCTTGGAAAACTCATTGAGATCATTCATATTGAAGATCATTTTCCAATTTTATCACATTGTAATATTTCCCTCTCATGTAGTCTTTATAAACTTTTATTATTTTAAAAATAATGAATTTAATAGCAAGTTTTATAATATCAATTTTGTTGGGATTACATGGTTATACTAAAAAATCGTTATCATTATCTGGTGCAATAGCTGCATTTTTTGTTGGTCTGGGGACTATTGCTCATGATTGGAATGTGTATGCAGTAGTATTATTGACATTCTATTTTACGAGTTCAAGGCTAACCAAAGTAAAAATTTTTTTATAAGTCCT